TAGATCATCTAAACCCTTAAGAAGCTTCATCCCTTCCTGAAGGGTTGTTGATATTTCACATGTGTTTTACATTTGTTTTTACACACACGCTGGTGAAGGACTTGCATGTGGGCGGTCGAGGCAGATTCCTGATTTTTTCACCAAGCCTGTTCCTCATCGTAAACTGCCAGGTTTATCACCTATATTGGCCCTTCTTGGCTTCTGAAGGAGCTGCCTATAACTGCGTTCCTGCTATGTTGGCAACCGTTTGTTGTGAGTAGCTTTGTTCCTCTCTGATCAATTCTGTTAATGCTTTATCGTGGTCCGATACTTTTAATGGGAGGCCGCCCGAAACTCTTTCTTCTGACTCTCTCTTCTCTCTCTCTCTCTCTCTCCTCTCTCTCTCTTTCTTTCTCTCTCTCTTCTCTCTCTCTCTCTCTCTCTCTCTCTCTCTCTCTCTCTCTCTCTCTATCTCTCTCTCTATCTATCTCTCTCTCTTCTCTCTCTTCTGTCTCTCTCTAGAGTCCCCTGATAACTCACCACGTAAAACCAAAACATTGCTATGATCCTATCAATAGTGTGACATAATAGTAAAAACCAATGCATCTGTAATGGAACAATTGAGCTCAGTAGATAATTTTGCGCATGGAAATCCTACAGCAAACTAAAGGGATTCATGCACGGACAGACGCATTAAATCTTGTGTTGGCGTGAGCGAATGAGTAATTAAGTGAATGTTTGAGCGAAAGGCACAGTGTATAAAGAAAAAAAAAGTCGCAAATACGAAATATAGAAATTCCAAATAACACCGTGAAGATAAATATCGAATCTAATACTAAATCAATTTAACTGCCACGTTGAACCGAACTTAAGAATGAGATATGAATTGATGTACGAATGGCAGAAGCAACGACATAATAATGTTGCTTATCAACAGATTTCCCTGCAAGCATTGCACTGCATAGCAAGGCTTCGCTATAAATATTGATTCACTATCAAGTAAAATTATGGTTTGTGAACTTCCAGTATTACCATATTGCCAACGAAACAACAGCCAAAGCAGGAAAGTGATGAGAGCTGCTCTATAGACTACCAACTTGGCGTGAAGCGTGATCACGCGTTCTCCCCACATTCAACTCCAAAGCCTGCCAAAAGAAGCGCTTGCTTTTGCTATTTTGTTCCAGACTTCCGAATATTATTGTTCACTCAACTAATATCTTCACATCGTTTCCTTTGCCGCCTTCTGCCATCTCGCATCGTATCGTCTTGTTCTGTTAAACCCCTTCCCTTTGGGCTGCACTGCGGAAGTGATATGGCTTGAATGGGTACAGTGCCGTTCAGTTCAGTTCAGTTAGATTTGCGAAGTCATGCTTCGCCCGGGCCTTTTCTCTGAAGTGGCCCGGCCTGTGTTAACTATTTCTAGTTAACTCAAGTTGTTTCTTTGAACTGCATGCTTATCGTGGTGGCTGAATTGCGAGCAACCAATCCAGCTGCCACGGAGTAAGCATGTCGCAGACCCTTTTTACGAGCCTGGCGGCTGTAGTGGGTGGTCTCTATCTTAGAAATTGTGTGTGGTCACAATTCTGCAAGTAATGTAACAGGGTGACGTTAGACTAGACTCGCCGCAGTGTCTGCATAACCTGGCAGTCTCATTGTCAATAATTTGCCAAGCGCATGGGTAACCTAGTCAGTCTGAAGAGTATGACTTCGGTACCCCTTATTGTGTTTAGAGGAAGGGCCAGTGGCTCATAGCCTGAAGCATCTAAGTACCACTTGGCAGCGAGCAAGTTTGTACAGTGCCGTGCTGGGTACTTCCATATATGTAACACAGTCCCTGTTGCACCTCGTTTCTGAAACTCTTATTCAGGTCAAGGGCAGTTGTTGGGATTCATAATTCGTAGATGTAAAGAAAAATTGAAATAATCAATAAATGGACCAGACTGCTTTTTGTCTTTCCACGTTGAATTTGAATTTACCCTTGACGAATCTTACGGTCGTTTTGGCACATGCAGATTTCCTTTTGATTGAGTGATAATGAATGATTTCATCCAAGCCGTAGGTCCCTCAGTTTACCAGATTTAATTATAGTTACTTTAAGGACAATAATCAGGTCACTTCTTCTGGTTTAGACTCTTCAGATGCAATGATATCCACTCGTACTGATTCTCTCTCTTTGGAGATGGAACAGTTGTCTTTGTTAGTTTTCTGCAAAACTAAAACTTCTGAATCCTCTGTTGCTGGGTGGCTGTACAGTGCACTAGAGTTTGGAGCACCACTAATCCATCGATTCAGGACTTTTTTTATCATTATTATTCTAAGAATTTACTTTGTCCTGGAATGCCGTGAGTCGTCCTTCATTTGTGCTTGACTCTTTTTTTTAACGAGCCTGTGTGCATTTTTAATTCTTTCTTTTTAGTTCTTAAATGACGACAGTGCTTCTCAGTCCAATTAATTTTTCTTAATTTCGTTGTTAACTCACCCATAGGGGTCGGTACTTCTGTTGATTACACATATCAGGGACCTCAGGTTGACCGATCATTTCTTGATCTGGCTACACTTGCCTTCGTATTTGTGATTGTGTTATGGCTCTGTTTACACTTGAAAGGAAGCGGTTCATATATATATAATATAATATATATATATATATATATATATATATATATATATATATATATACATATATATGAAACGTATCCATGTTGACAAATGTAGAAAAGGTATGAATGAGACTGGATATCTTCACAATACAAGAGATGTATTTGACCGGTTTCGATTACGTCTTCATCAGAAATACATACATAAGAGATAAGGATAAGGATAAGTCCGATATGCGAAGCTGAGCCTCGCCGGGCTATGGGGAGCCCGGCCTGTGCCGACAAATGTCGACTCGATCAACGTGTGTCAGCGAGTGCTAACGCGACAGAGCTTAGTCCTTACCCACCGTGGTGCCCAGCCACAGCAGTAACCTCCGAGCGACAATTGCAACTTCTCGCGCCTGGGCGGGGCGCGAACCGTCGACCCCTCGGATGAGAAGCCGACACGTTACCACTGTACTAACCTGGAGGCTTACATAAGAGAAAATACATAGCATATATATACTACATAGGAGCTGGTAGATCACCTGACAACTGTGACCTCGCACTCGTTATGCGCATAATTGCAGCTACGACCTTGGACACTTTAAACCTGCCTGATGCGGTGTTCATATTCTTTTCTGTCGCGATGTATGCAGCTTCCATGACCTTCCTTTTATGTTTACTCAATCCTTCATGGATTACTTCGGCTTCCTTCCAGTTCGGTAGATGTCCAGCTTCATCTACATGAACTACCATGGCATTGGAAGTCCTGTGGTGAAGGACGTCGGCTCGATGTTCGGTGATCCTGGTGTTGAAGCCTCGTCCCGTTTCACCAAAATAGGCCTTATCGCAACCGTTGCAGGGTATGCGATATACTGCACTGTTGGGGTTGCTTTTCAACTGCTTCTTGTCTCGTATCATATCGTGTATCTTTTCCCCGGATGTGCTGGCGATTTTCACTGTTTTCCAAAGTATTTGCTGATCGCCTGGGAAACGTTACATGGAGGCAGTATGAGGAAGTCAGAGGATGTCATTGGGGTTGATCTTGCAAGTATGTTCACCGCCTTCTTCCTGAGGTTTAGCAGGAGACCTTTTGGGTACTTATGTTGCATAAAAGAATTAATTACATATGTAACCTCAGTCTCAAGAAACTCAGGGCTGCAGATCCTCAGTGCCCGGAGAAAGAAGCCAATTACAACCCTAGATTTTGTTTTGCTGCTGTGGGCGGAGTAATAATGGATATAATCGTCTTTATTCGTAGGCTTTCTATATACAGAGAAACGTAGGCCGTCGTCATCCCGATGAATCAGAGTGTCCAGGAAAGGTAACTTCTGATCCACTTCCTCCTCCACGAGTGCGAGGTCACAGTCGTCAGGTGATCTACCAGCTCCTATGTAGTATATATATGCTATGTATTTTCTCTTATGTATGTAAACACTTGCAGAATTGTGTACACACACAATTTCTGAGACAGGGACCACCCACCACAGCCGCCGGGCTGTAAAAAGGTGTGCAACATGCTTTCACCATGGCAGCTGGATCGCTTGCTTGCAATCCAGCCACCACGATAAGCATGCAGTTCAAAGAAAACATCTGAGTTAACTAGAAATAGTTAACACAGGCCGGGCCACCCCAGAGAAAAGGCCCGGGCGAAGCATGACTTCGCAAATCTAACTGAACTGAACTCTTATGTATGTATTTCTGATGAAGACGTAATCGAAACCGGTCAAATACATCTCTTGTATCGTGAATATATCCAGTCTCATTCATGGCTTTTCTCATTCACACACACACACACACACATTATAATATATATTATATAATATATATATATATATATATATATATATATATATATATATATATATATATATATAATATATATACACATGTACATGTATGAATGTATATAGATAGATAGATATAGACACATATTTACTTATTTATATAATATATATAAATAAATGTGCATATATGTATGTGTATATATATAGAGAGAGATATTATATATATATATATACATATAAATACACACATACACGCGCATATTTTCTCTTAGGTCTTGAGCGAAAATGCAGTTTCATCCTACTTATATTGTGTGTGTGCTGACAAAAAGAAAAAGCATAATGATAATAACACATAATGTCATCTTAGTATTATTATAGATATTATGATGCCACCGCCATAACACGTTTCAAGATATTGCTCTCGTAATAGTGAATAAGAAAGCGAGCGAAACACTCCACAACTGCTATTACACCCAAATCACATTCACAAATCCCCTGACAGTGTTTTCCTTCCATCCTGTCACATTAACGTCACCCATGACGCACGTGGTAACATTTCACCCCCCTCCATTAATGATTCACGAAGAGCGAATTCCGGCTCCAGGACAGGGCGCTGCCAGGCCGCGAGCGAAGGAGAGAGGGTCAGTGTGGCGCCGAAATGGACGGCGTCTGCACTCTCGCGCTGGCGCTCCTCGCCGCCTCCGCCCTGGCCATCGGCGGTAAGTGCACGCGCTCCGTCTCTCACGAACAGGAGAGCACATGTATTGCTCATAATGAAGGAATATGATATTACGAAACTATTTCTCTATGATACATAAATCAGACTTTCCACTGTTGTTATTATTATAATCATTATTATTATTATCATTATAAATACAGTATAATATATATGATATATATATATATGTATACATATCTAAATATATACATATTTATGTATTTATATAATATGTGTGTTTGTGTTGTATTTGTATGTGAGTATATATATAATATATATATATATATATATATATATATATATAATATATATATATTTATATATATGATACTTATATTATAAAACGAAATTATTTTACGCAAATGACGCTAACTGTCGTATAGTATGATGCTAAAACACCGTCATAAGAAAACGCTCTCTTGTCATTTCAAAGATATAGGTAAACAGATCGTACAAATAAAGTATTAATGTGGTGATAACTTCCGGGAATAGATATTACGGGATAAAAGTAAACCCACTTGAATTTACGGCTACATTCATAACATCCTATGCTGCCATTTAATTGATTTAATCCTTTAACGAAGACCGCGATTATACCTTATTGCTTGACTCAATCGTTTCTCCGGCATTTTTGCTTCACTCTGATTAAAGTTTGCTTTCCGGAAGTAGGATTCCGTAGTACTGGTAGGTATTAAAAATCTCTATGAACCCAACAGGCCAATCAAATCGCATGCAACATGGCACACAATGGCACACAGGATACCCCTCAAAGCACAAAACTACGAAACTGCGTCAATTGTTTTCACTTTCTCTTCATAGGAGACCCAAACGCCCGCCATTATTATGAGAAAAGGTTGTCCAGCCATAGCATGTACCTCAAATAATTTCGAAGATAATAGTCGCAGATGCATACCGCTGAAAACGTGTAATGGAATTAATTACCGTAATTAAACGTTGGTGTTAAGCCAAGCGTAAAACGTTAAAGTAAAACAAATCCAGCTAGCTAATTACGCTTGATCATTTAAATTTCAAACTCTAGAAAACTAATACAGTTATCATTAGTCATTTCTTATTGCATTATTGGCAATTTCATCTTTTGAGAATTTACATCTAGTAGATAGAGTTCGCATGGGAAAACGAAATAAAATACGAATTTTAAAACTATTATTGTATCGAAGGCAGTGTACAGGGAATTTATTAACAGCTACCGAAATGAAAAAGGTAAATTATATGAATTAAAAGGATCACTCATATAAACGAAATAAAAATGTATGATTTTCAGAAATAGCGCTCTATTAATAATCACTCATATAAACGAAATAAAAAGTGGTGATTTTTCAGAATATTAATGGCGACGATTTTGATATCATTGGATTCTCCTCACTCCTTAGAATCCAAATATATAGAAATTATTGCGCAGAAACCCCCTAACCCCCCACATTCTTGGCCCCGATAGCAGGGGAGGGCATGGAGAGTACGAGACATCGCGAGGTAAACGAACACTTATATAATACTTATAATGTATGTAATATATCACTGTATTATTCACTGTAGGAGGGTGCCGCCCCCTCCCCCGCCCAGAAAAACAAAGATTCCTTCACTGCAGGATAGAGCGCGCGGCCCACATGCGAACACGGCAATATATAACCTAACCTGTTTGTCACATGTTAGTATGCTACTTGTATGGGTACGTGCCTAATTGTGATTGTCTAAAGCTATATCCTGCCGTACATACGTGGTGGATTTTTTGTGCTCGAGGGTACAACCTACCATGTTGATGCTGTTCATTCGCAGCCTTCGGGTACGACGTCGGGGCATCGCCTGTGAGCAATTCTGGGCTGTATTATCTCGAATTAATACCCTGTATGCGGATACAGTACAGGGTACACAGTGCATGATTTGTAATTTGTTGCACACCAATGGTTATTTTCTATTAATTTAATTTCCGTGATTTCCTTTACTTTTGATTCTACTCATATCGATATTGTCATTATTGTTACTGACATTATTATGTTATCAAAACACTAATAGCAGTAAGAAATATTGATAATAAAAAAATCTTTCCAAAAGTCAAGGAAAAGGGTAAAGACGAGACAGGTATGAGTAGTAACAGACAACTAGCAGTACTTGTGGAACCATCTATAAGTAAGTGTAACCACACATAATAAACTAAAATTAACGTGGACATGGCATGCACTCGATGTCATGTCATCTAAGCATTTACGATAATTCATGGTTTTCAGCTTTTAGTTCCCACGGCTTTAGAAATACTGTAACACTTTGCCCATGTTAGACTATTTCAAATGTCATCAGTATCGTTCATCCATGTTAGAAAGCAAAGATACATATATTATATTTGTTATCATCCCATATTTCTTTTAATTGCTTCATGCATTATTATGATGGCGCTCTTGATTTCTAGTTTTATATAAAGAAAATAAAAAGAAGGAAATTCCAGCATTCACGAAAATTTAAGTATAGCAAGTTATTCTACCGGCAATTAGTTTAAAAGCCTTCAAGATCACTTTCAACTTCAAGTTACACTGAATTTTGCAAAATCAAAATCATGCGCTTTCAAGAAGGAAGTCATCAGAGGTTGCAGAATGTCATAATCATTTTAAAACAGCAGCTAAGTATCGGATCATTTAATCATTTAATCTCATAATCTTATATACTGCTTTAGTACAATAGACAAAGAAATTGTTGACTTAAGGAGCGTTTTAGTTTTGCATTGTAAACAAACTATTACTAATCTATAGGCAATTAAGTTTCTTGTTACTAGTTAATATTCGTGTGGTGATTTTTGTCGCCAGTTATCAAGATCTAAGCAGGATTGCGAATCTGGTACAGGATCATTGGTCTTGAGCATGTTTCCCTTTGAGTTTCCTCCTCCAGGCTCAGTCCCCTTCTTTTCTCTGAGGAAAAGTCTTGTTCCCGATACTCTGTTTGTGTATATCATTGAATAGTCTCTCATGACGTATTACATCATAACTTTGTTAACCATATTAAATTACTGATTTCTGTGTGTTTCTCTTAGATGATGAGTCCATAATGTATGGAATCCAAACCGACGTCCTTAAACCCGGCACGACTGAGGAGTACGTGCGTTACGCCTTCCCTCTCAACAACACAACTCTGCTCAGCTCTTTTACCGTCTGCATCCGCACGAAGATTATCCAGTACAGGGAAGTCGTGCCAATTTTTTCGTACGCGTTCTCAGACAGGGCCGACAATGCATTAATGATGTGTGAGTTCTATTATGAGAGTTATTAATAGCAATTTGCATATGACAGTATCATCACCATTATATTTTTTCGATTCTCATGAATAGTGTTTTTCTTTATTTTTCTTTTTTCCTCTCTCCAGTCCAGTCACGAGCACAGCTGGATTATTATATAAATGATCAGAAAGTGTCGTCTGGGCTGAATCTGAGGCTCGATGACAGACTCTTTGTGTGGCATCTATACTGCATGGTTATCACTCACCCAGCCTACTGGTGAGTGTGAAAGTACACGTTTTGTCAATTAATTATCTATTAGTTGTATGTTTCTGTTAAATCTGTTAGAGGTTTCCCAAGAATATTATCTTAGTGTTTTATTAATGCCCTTTGTGGAGGATATAATCAAACAACATTTCGCATTCTTGTTGTTTGGGTTTTGAATAGAAAGTACAGTATCTGAAAAAAAGGTGTTGAATCCATAAGTTACGTAAGTCAAGTTAAATCACTTTTACTAGAAGACAATCGAGAATTTACGGCTTGTTTGTTTAATATTCTTTCCTGTCACAGTGAATGCCGGGGGAGATCTTTTCAGGTCTTATATCATGTACTCTCGAGGCCCTCAGTCAAAACTACTGCACTTAATGGAAAATCAACAGCTTCATGTCAGTCAGTCTCCCGCGACATTAAGGGAAAGGAAGAAAATGCGGTTGGGAATAAAAAAGGAGAGATAAATAAAGAAACAGAGAGGAGGGTTAAGAGAAAAAAAAACAGGAGGGGGAGTGAGTTAAGAGAAGGGGAGAGAACAAAAGAACGCGATGGCAAGAACGGCAGAGGGACAGACAGACAGAGAAAAGAGGAAAGAACAGAAATTCCAAAGATTCCTCGTCCAACAGGATCTACGTCGACGGCAAGCTGCTGAAGGAGGACCGCCTCACGACGCCCAGCACGGACATCCCCCTCAACGGGACGCTCTACATCGGCCAAGAGCAAGACCGCTACGACGGCGGGACTGACCCCGACCAGACCCTCAGTGGCTTCGCGGCTCAGGTCAGTTGCCGAAGGAGGGGGAGTGGGGGAGGGGGGGACGAGAGGGGATATCCAGCCCTAAGTGTATCAGTGATTTATGGACACCATGAGTCTCTGTGATCATTAGTTTTTGTTATTTTTGATAAATATAATGCAAATATTGTGTGAAAATCATAATGGTAAGAATTTCCTTTATTTGCTTTTATTTATTTTTGTCATTAGTATTATGATTGGCATTATTGGGCAACAGTATTGATTATTATAATTCATTGTTGTTTGTTTACTGTTCTGGCTTATCGTTATCATTATCATTATCATTAATTCCATCATCGCCGTTACTGTCATTATAGGACAACTCTTGTCATATAATGATATCATTTCCATAACCATGTCATCATCATAATTAACCTTATTGTCAGTACTTTGACACTCATCTTTATATAGTTTTGATTGCAACTAACCTTAATGAATAATATCACAATCGTCAGCGTTACCTTTGAGATCCTAATAGATATTGTAACTGTTATTATGGCAACTGTATCGACTATTAATTATTAGTAATAATGTTGTGTTTAGCAGTATAACTTTTATCATCATTATCGTTGAGGAAGATCTTTCTTTTTCTTTCTCTCTTTTTTACCAAAATTCTCTTTCAGCAATACAGCGTTCATTCACAACAAAATTGCAACATTCTGCTATGAAATACACTAAATGTCTCTCTCTTCGCAGTTTAACTTCTGGGACTACGTATTGGAAGAAAGAACCATAAAGAATCTTGCCGGATGCCTTGAGAACTTGAGGGGAAACGTGCTGTCATCAGATTTTGCCACGTTTGATCAGCCCGGAGTGACAAGCGAAATCGTCCCCTTGCAATCACTCTGCACTGAGGAGCCAATGTTTGTGGTGTTCCCCCTCAGACGGCAGGTGACGGGAGCGCGTATCTTTTGCGGCATCCTTGACGGCATGTTTTTCGTTCCTGAAGACGAGAAAACCAACAACCGGTTGCACGAGGAAACCAACATGTTTGCGGAAGTTTGCGATTTCAAAAGCTACAGGCGACTGCTTCTGGCTGGTACCGACGAGGAGCAGGAAGGCGTCTGGGTTAACTTTAACACTGGCAAACGGCTTGAGTTTACTTCATGGTTTGATGGTGAACCTAACAATGGAAAGAACGATAACTGCGTCGTTTTACGAAACGACCTGCCTCAATGGGGCGATATCAACTGTGAATACAGCAACTGCTTTTCATGTGGCATGTCAAGTAAAAACTACTTCTTTATACGAGGGCTGTGTAAGCCTGATGAACATCGAATTCGTTTCATAATGGATGGGTATGTGAACGATCGGCCTTACTTCAGGGGTTACTACGGCATGGCCATCTTTAATGTTGGCGAAGGAACATGGGTTTTCAAGGACACAATGGCCAACTTAACACTGGCCACCATGACCATGGAGCAGCCAGAAGAGTATCCGCTCGGACGAACTGTGTGGGACGTTCTGGAGCCTTTCTGTGACTTCGCTGTGGGAGACAAGTTAAGACTGGGTTTGTCACCGTGCACCATCGAAGAGTTCATGTGTTCTGACGGCTCGTGCGTTCCCAGGAACGTCCGTTGTAACCTGAGGGAGGACTGCGTCGACGGAAGTGACGAGAACGACTGTGGAATCGTCCTGTTCAGCGGCAGGTACGCCAGTCACCGGCCTCCCCCCGGGAGGACCTACCGGGAGGTGTTGTACATCCAGCCCCACGTCCACATCGTCAGGTTCTCCAAGATCGACGACATCAACCTCGCCTTCTACATGGAGTTCGAAGTCCACCTGACTTGGACTGACCGGAACCTGAAGTTTAAGAACATTAAGGAGGAGGAAGACAAAAACAAGTTGTCGACGGAAGAGGTTGATTCCATTTGGACGCCAGAAATTGAGTTTCTGAATGTGAACGACGGTCTGTTGAAGAAGCTGAAGTCAAATGTGTACGCACGTCAGACGGGCGAAGCAGAACCCCCGGATTTCAATGACGCCATGATGGGTGAGCGATCAAGTGCATGGAATAAGCCACGGATGAAATATAAATGCAATGTCATGCGGTTTGTATAATCTAGGTACAGCGATTTCGCCATTAAGATATTTCAATACTTTTCTTTGATAAAATATATACGAAAGTGGATGTATGAATGTGTTTGTCTCTTTCCTATGGCTATATATGTGTGTGTGTGTAATGTATGTAGATGTTTTTATATTTGCCAACAGAGACGGTCTACCTCCCCAACAACGTCGCCCTCGTAAGCAAGACGTTCTACTCGCATTCTCCTGCAACTTCTACACTGTTCAGCTAAGCATTATATCGGAAATTGAAATGGCACCATATGTTCTTGCAGAACGAGAGTGTTATTTACACCGGTCTCATGACGCTCCCGAAGTATGACATACAGAAGATCACCTCTAATCTCAGCGTGAATTCCGACTACGCCGTTTTGGAGGTGTGTTGATGAAAGAGAGAGGAGGGCAAGAAGGAGGAAAGGAGAAGGGGTATTTGGGGAGGGAGACGTAAGAATAGAAAAGAGAAAAATGGGGAGAGGGTCAATTTAGTAAGGATATATTTTGTACATATTTGTCTGTGCATGAATATCACAAAACTTATTGCGACGCCTTTTACGTTACTTCAACTGCTTGTCATAATGCCAGGTAGAATTCACGCTGGAGAGGCGCTGGAGTCTGCTAGTGTTGACGATCTTCATCCCCACGATCCTCCTGCTGGGCATCGGCTACGTCACCCTCTTCATTCGCCTTGCGGAATTCGAAGTAAGCTGAGGAGTGATGCTAAGCCTCTGCAATATCTGGTTTCCAGTCTGTACTAAACGGAATATAGAAGATGTATACTGAATGCAATAGTTATTCCATTAGCTCCATTCAAATGTTTTCGCGTTGCCTCCTTCAGGTACGAGCAGTCATGACGCTGACAACACTGCTGGTGCTGTACACCCTCTTCAACCAGGTGTCCAGCGACCTCCCCGACACCGCTTACATCAAGATGATCGACACCTGGTTCTTCTTCTGCATCTTCCTCATCTTCGCTGTGAATGTCCTACATGTTTTGGTGGAACACCTCCCAGCAACCGAGAACAACATTATCAAAATTTCTCCAAATTCCGACAACGTCCGGGTTTCAAAACTGAGGTATGCAATATCCTTCATCTGCCATAGTTCTCATTACAACACCATCCTTTGGGTACCGTGACGGCACTTATCGAGACGTATATTACTCTTCAGGAAGATAACTGGCCCTTGGACTATGAGGACAATGAGGGTGGTCGCCTTCCCAATCGTCGTGTTCGTCTTCAACTTGGTATTCTGGCTGACCATCCTTGCTGTGGGCTAACGCGGGGAAGCGAAACCCAGCGCATGCGCGAAGGCTCACCGGAACCTCAGTTTGGCTTGAGGTGGACCACGACTCAAGGAGATGTTTTGATGGCGATGAAAATGATGTCGGTAGTAAAGACTTTCAAAACTGCTTTTACACATCTGTATATGCTTCTGTATATGCACACACATACACACATATATGTGTGTATATGTATATATATAAATATGTATATGTATCTACATGTACATATATGTATGTATACACACGCATAAACAAACTAACAAACAAGCACAAACATACGCAATACACACAGAAGCACACGCAAATACTCATACAGGCACACACACACACACACACACACGAACACATACACAAGTACACGTACATCCACTCACACACGCGCGCCTTGCGCGCATTGCACGTTTATGGAATGACCTATTACTTTTGTTTCTTTCTGTATGCAATATTCTAATACAAATGAATGAATAAGTCTTTGTATTATTCACATGTCATTTAATTATGAATCCATAATTTTGCCTTTCCCTAACGTAACCCATCACATCCAGATGAAATTGCTTAAGTTTGAAACTACCTAATTCTTGGATATATATTTTCGCCAGTGTCTGTCTACCTGCCGATCTATTTCTCTTCCTGTCGGTCTCTCTCTCCTCTCTCTCTTCTCTTCTCTCTCTTCTCTCTCTCTCTCTCTCTCTCTCTCTCTCTCTCTCTCTATCTCTCTCTCTCTCTTACTAATTCTCTATCTATTTATCCGTATGCGCATGTAAATAATGCATTCATACACATATCAATCCCCCTCCTTTACTGGACGGTTATTTCAGCTAAATGATATACAGTGAACCCTCGCTATAACGCGGTTCACCTTTCGCGTTCTCGCTGCTTCACGGATTTGCATTGTGCATTGTGTTCTGCATTCTGATTGGCTAAACAGTCTCTCCACTTCTTCTCTACGTGTGACAATAACGTTACGGTTTAATATGTACATGTACGCAACACAGCTTGCCAAATTTAAGGTTAAGCCTTCAGTTCGTATTGATGATTAATATTATTATTTTACAGTACAGTAGTTATTTGTAAAAAAAACGTTTATACAGTACTTTTATTTGTTAAACAAATGCTTGGGCCTGTAAAAAGGTTTTGTTCTTTGGTTTCAATGTATTGTAGAGTATTTCATTGTATAATAATTGTAAAAAAATAAAGGTTACTACTACACGGATTTCGCCTATCACGGGTTCTTTTTGGAACGTAACCCCCGCGAAAAACGAGGGTTCACTGTATTTCAAACACACTCATATTCCCTTTAATGTTGGTTTTACCGTTACGGAATAAAAACAACTTTTCTGCATAAATCGTGGGGTCTCTAGAAAACCACTGAACGATTTACGAAACGGGATCACATTACAGGCTGTTGGTACTTTTCCTTGAATACAATAGTTCTGTTGGTAAGAGGCAGAGAGAGACAGGGGGAAGGGGGAGTGAGAGAGAGAGAGAGAGAGAGAGAGAGAGAGAGAGAGAGAGAGAGAGAGAGAGAGAGAGAGAGAGAGAGAGAGAGAGAGGAGAGAGAGAGAGAGAGAGAGAGAGACAGAGAGAGACAGACAGAGAAGAGATACTATAGCGTCATTAGGACAACCAAGAATATTTGTAAAATTCCTGTACAAATACCATATTCATTTTTCTTTTTATATATCGTAGAATCAATCGACTCCTGAGTATGACGGTGTAATTTGTATTTGAGCGTTGCCCTGGAGCTCCACATTGGAGCTTGTAATTCATTCGAGAAATGGCGGGAAATTCATAGTCTGTGAGATTACAGTGAAATACGCTTTCAAAGTACTGTACTGGTTTCACTGTGCTTCTCAAGCCAGTTCATCTTTTTCTACATCTATTATCATCGTTAAAGTGAACGATCACGTATACAAATATTAAAGCGATAAATCGTGCATGAGAAACGTTATTACGAAGTGATGAAAACGTAAACACGATAAGAAGCAAACCCCGCAACTCATGTATCAATAATAGAACACCCGACGTTTGTTCAAATTTTCCGATCTCATGTGCCGGTATTAATGTAATCAATGGTTCATGAGAAACGTAAATGTGAACTAATGAAAACTGTAAACGCAAGAAGCAAATACTATTACTCAAAATGGGAGTCTAATATCATCCATCATGAATTACCGAGACCGAGAGGCCTACCAGCAGGGCTACCATTATTATCGGAAGTTATAAAAATGCGATACTGTAGTCATGATTTCGACATTGAATCTCTTTCCCTGTCAAATACGTACCTTGGTTGAGGTGGATGGCGTCAGACCTCATCGAGACGTTGAGCTATGCGGATCTTGTAGTCAACAGCTGCCACTCAAGACATGGTAGCAATTACACCATATTTCATAAAATTCCAGTAGATGAGTATGTCAAAATATCGGTATTATTAAACGAATATGAATATCTAGAAATCATCAAAGTGGGGCAAGTTTTCGATAAGGCTTGATGTATTCGTCTTTTTTGGTGTTGTTTGTTTGTTTTTCCTTTCTCTTTCTGTCTTCCCTATACTTTATTCCATGGTACGTTTGAATGTACTATTAAGAACTCATTTCTTCCCATACTGAGCAAGCCTGTACAGAGGACATTCCTAATAGATTACATTTTATTGGAACAAGACCTATAACACTGAAGTATCTGTCTTACACACAAACTTATTGTACATATATATTTAATGAGAAGCAGACAGAGA